CACACACACACACGCACCCCCCATCCCCGCACAGCCCTCCCTGCCCCGCACGCACACTGCCGCCCGGCTCGCTCATTCCCCACTTGCTCAGGCACCCTCCAACGCTTCTGCCCAAAACGCTGCCCACCACCACCCCCTGAGGCTCACCCACCACCGGGCGCTGGGAGCAGGCACTGCGCACTGCCGTCCCCTTCTTCTCGATGCAAAAGACCAGGGGATGTTTCTGAAGTGCTTTCCTAAACGGCTGGAGAAGCCTCGGACTGAGCCCGCATTCACCTGGGAGGCTGCAGGGCGGCTGCTGGGGGTGATCAGTCCTTGGGTTCCGCTCAGAGAAAAGCCATCTGCACCAACCCCGTGTGCAAGGCAGCGCCGTGCCCACAAGTTGAGCACCAGAGTGGGCAGCACAAAGTGCTCCCACTGCCCTACAGTGGAACACTCCTGCTTTTCTTATCCATTGGAAGGAAAGGTCTGGATGCAGCACTTCTCTCCCAGATGCTACTCGTGGTCACCCCTCCGTGGGTGCGCACACAGCGCGTGCAGCACACAGAGCGTGCACAACCGCACCGTGTGCTGGGGGGGGTCGGAGGGAGCTGGGGGCTGGCGGCTCCACGTGCCCCCTGCCCTCAGCAAACAGGCTAGATTGCCAGCACGGCTGTGACACGGGGATCACCCACGGGAGGCCACACGTTGCTGACGCAATGACAAACAGTGCTCCTGCTGCTGCCCCGTCCTTCCCCACCTCCGTGCAGGTGAGCAGTGTCATGGGATGGGGAACTGGGTGCTTGGCTCATGGCTGGCCCTCCTGCTGGGTAGAGAAAGCTCAGCCTGAGGCACGGGGCTGAGCTGCCGTGGGGAGGGGGAAGAAATCCCATCCCAGCAAAAGGCTGTGGACATGGAGTGTTCCTGCTGCCACAGCTGTCACTCCTGGGGGAGGCAGCCAGCATGGACCCATCGGGTCCCAATACTGAATGCTGTGGGTGAAGCATCAAACACCCAGAGATATGAGCTCTGCTCCCTTCATCCTTTTCCATAGAGCTGGGGATATCCAGGTCAGGATTTTATTGCCCACATCGTCTTCTTTCCTTGCCATGGCTAATGGGGAATGCCCAGGAAGGCAGCCCATGGTCAGGCCGCTGATGGCTGGAGGAGATTCAGGGCTGCTCCAGCTGGGCTGAGCCATGGAACAGACAGTAGCAGGGCCATTACATTCCTCTGTTCGCTCCGTTGTGCAAAATCCCTGACAGCCTCCACAGTTCAGCAGGGTCCCTGCTCTACCCCCATCCCTACCCACAACCCAGAGGGGTCCTTCTGCCAGAGAGTGTGGCTGCAGTTCACCATGAGCCCCTAGCACTGCTGAGACACAGACCACAACACCAACCCCAGCTGATGGAGGAGAGCAGCACCTGCAAGGTGCACCCCAACCCCCATCTGAGGGGATGCAGGCCTGGATGCTCGGCCACACATCCCCAGACGGGCACATGGAGACCCCCCAGTGGCGCCAACGGGACACCGCTCCCCCTGCTTGCACCCTCTCCAGCCCTGCCTGCAGCATTAATGGGGCGTTGTGGAGGCAGCAGCTCTTCTCCACGGCTGAGTGGTGCTGAGCAGCCCAGGGCGATCCCACTGCTCACCATTAACTCAGCATCCCCCCCAAGGGCCAGACCCCACCACAGTGTGTTACGTGGGAATGACCTCGTCTGCACTACCCACAGCTCCAGGAACAGGGAGGGGGGTACAGCTGCTCCTCATTGATTCTCCTCTCTGCTCAGCTGGTGGCACCAGGGCTGAGCGTGGTGGGAATGTCGGCACAGGAGAACAGAAACAAGGGGCTGCGCCCACCCTGCACAGGACTGACCACAGTGGTGTGGCCCCTTTGGGTAGATACAAGGGAGGGCTTGGAGGTGATCCAGGGACATGGGAAAAGACCAGGAGTAGTGGGGGGGGATGGGGCAGCAATGGGGAGAGAGACCCCCAGGCCGCACACGCTTCCAAAGGGGGCGAACTGGTAAAGGTCCCATCAAGTCCCACCACTGGGCTTGAGTTAGATGGAAGCTGCCAATAAGGGCACTTTGTGTTGGGTCAATTAATGAAGAAGGTGATAGCCCCAGCCCTGAGTAATTTAAACATGAGGCATTCTGGCATCCATCTTCTCTGGACACAGCAGCCAGAACAGGGGGACTATGGGCCTTGGGCATGGAAAAATGGTGACATACGCAGATGAGGACAAGCACATGTGGTGCTTGAGCAGCTCCACCCCATCCCTGCTGCCCAGCATGGGCCAAACAGCACCTCCAGGACCTGCTTTCAGTGTGCTGCTGGCTGGCACAGCCCACCCAGCACCTTCCTCTTGGCCTGCAGCACATCTGACTTCAGTTTGGGTCCTCCTGGGAAGAGGATGCCTGCACCCAGCCCTGCGGGGGGGCTAAGCCTAAAACCAACATTGGTGGCCGGGGGGCTGTCGGCTGCCTGTAATTCTACCTCCTTTTGTTTGCTTATAGCATCCACCCAAAATGCCCGTGTGTGTGTCTCCGGGCCCCTGTGTCAGTGGCAGCTGAACTGCTGACCTCAGGAGTTTGCAAAACACCAGGGTTATGGCCCCTCAGACATCCCAGCCCGGTGGAGACGTTCCTCATCCCGACCTCATCCTGGGTAACCAGCCCCTGGCACCCTGCATGGGGACAAGGGGAGAGAGCCAGCGAGAGCCAACCCCAGAGGAGGGGCCACGTGGGCACGCTCCCCATCGCACCTGCTGCTCTTCAGTCCAGCCCCATGGACTTACCCAAGCTCATACCTCCAGTTCCCACCACGGAAACCAAATCTTGCCCATCTCCCCTAAAAACAGAACAGCAGGTCCAGCCAACAGACCCCAAATCCCACTGGGCACAGCCCTGCTGCCACCAGCCCTGGCAGGGAGTTGTGTCCTGTGGTGACATCTCTGCCAGCACCAGGGCCATGCCAGTCTGCAGTGATGAGAGGGGTTGGAGGGCAGGACACCTGTGACCCCAGGGTATCTCAGCTGTGGCTGTTGGGTGCAAAGTGCCATCACTGCCTGGGGACACAGGAGGGGACAGCGTGGCAGAACTGTGCTGTTCAGATGGAAATTCCCACTGTGCAGCAGTGGGCACAGACTGCAGCTGTCTGACACCACCTGACTGTGCTCACTTTTAACACCTCCCCTGGGCGCTTATGGCTTTGGGCCCATCTCGTGGCACAAGCCGTGTTCCACATCACCAGGCACTGTGCCCCACAGCCCTGGCTGTGCTGAGCATCCATTCAGCCACCGGTACCCGAGGAGGAAAGCAACATGAGAAGTGGAGCACTGATGGAGCAGGGAACCAGCCCCACCTACAGCACGGCCACAGCCGTGCCTCGCGTAGGCTGCCCAGGATCAGGGTATCCTGGGGATGCTATAGCAGAGAGGGATCCATCCCCTGGGATACATCAGCATGCAGCACCCCGGAAGACAGCACAGCCCCAGGGAGGAGGAATGCTCAGAGCCACCCACCCTCTGGATTCCCACACACCCCAGCACAGCCGTACCTGAGCTCACCCGCTCTCCTCCAGCCCTGTTTGTTTGCCCAAGGTATTTGTGGCCGGTGGCACCTGCTTCGATACCATCAGCTCGGCAAAGGAAGCTGCTCACCTAGCGTGACCCCTGTAATTCCATCCTTTCCCATTAACAGCCCCCCTCCCAGCCCCCCGCCATCTCAGCATTCATCTCTCTCTCTCCCAAACTCATCCAGGCTGTGACGCTGCTGGGCAGGGGGACCAAACCTCTCCAAGGCACTGAGAGCTCCTGGCAGTGCCCGCTGCCCCACCCCCTCTGAGTGCCCCTCTGAGTCATTCCTTCTTACAGAACCATCCCTCCTGCCACAGCCCCTTATCCCAGCATCCCCAAGGCAACCAGCACCTTGGCATCCTCTCGTGTTCTACAAGATCCCAAATGCCATCTGACATGAGCCTGCACAACCTCTCCCTCCTGGTACCACTCTCCTCACCGCACACCAGCCGCTCCCCCAGCCCAGCCCGGCGGGAGAGCTTGTTAAAAATGATCTACGGGCTCTTATCTGTCCCAGGGAGCAAGCAGGACCAAGGCCCGGCAGATAAATCAGATCCGATGCAGTCCAAGCACCCAGCTGCTGCCGCTGCACAAGTAGCTGGGAGGTTTGGGCAGAAGAAAGGAGCTCAGCCCCAGGACCTGGTGTAGGACGGCAGGCGAGATGGAGAAATGGAGCAGGGAGTGCCGCTCGCCTCTCTGGAAGCAGACACGGTTTCCTGCCTGGAAGGGTCCGCAGAGCCCGCGCACCCGAGGACACCTACGAGGTCCCGCACACTCCGGCCGCGTTTCGCGGGGCTCCATCCCGCACGAAGCAGCCACATCTCCATTCACCCCGTTCCGCCCTCCCGCACAGCCGGCACAGAGGCTGCCCGGATCCCATCCCCGCTGCAAGGCACGGCCGCCGCGCTGCCCGCCTGCCACCTAGCGGCCCCGAAGAAGCGACCCGGAGCCCTTCCCCGCCTCCTGGGCCCCGCTCACCGACGCAGACCTCTCCCCTCCCCCCCTCCCTCCCCACCTTACCCGTGCCTCGATCTCTCTGCAGGGATCGGCAACATCCCTGAGCACGGGAGGAACGTGCCAGCCACCACACCAAACCCGCACTTTTATTTCAGTGTGTAAAAACCGTCCTACAAAGCAGAGTGACCCAGAACCTCCCCCAAATCACAGCAGACATCAGCTCCCAGCACACCATCCTGGAAGGGAGGATGCTGCCTCCTGCTGCTGCCTCTACATCCAGCTGCTACTGGGGAAGGGACACGCTGGGCACCGCAGAGCCAGCAGGGCTGTGCACACTGCAGAGGTCCAGGGCAGCAAAAAGGCACAGGGTGAGGACCGCCATCCCGGACACCCAGAAAGGGACTGAGGGACATGATCACCTCCCATGGATGTGGGAAAGGAGACCCCCCTCCCACCCCCCCCCAGTGCTGGGAGCAGCCCCTGCCCACCACCCCCAAAAGGTACAACAGTAAATTAAAAAAATACAGCAAAAGTTGAGGTCCTGGTGAGAGGTGTCTGAGGTAACAGCTGTCTGCAAGAAGTTCCAGCGAGCACCTGGAGGAAGAAGCAGACTGAGACCAGCACCCCACAGCACCCCACTCAGCACCAGCACCCAATGGCAGGGCAGCACCCACCACCCCAGAGCTGCCCAGCACCTCACCTTGCTGGGATACAAATCACTGCTTCCTTCTCTCCTTCTTGGCAGGCATGATGGGTGCTATCTCCTCCTCAGACATGTCATCATCCTCATCCTCCCCCTCGAAGGAAGCATCATCCCTGTGCACTGAGACACACAGACAGGCGGGTCACTGACCAGGAGAGGGCTCTGGGGAACCAGCACTGAGCACAGGTGCTGGAAGCACCAGGTGTGGCTCCCATGGGCTCCCTGGCTGACACACACACTGGAGCATGCCTCTTCCTCCTCCCATGCCATTCCAAAGACGTGAACCCTTACAGATCTGGTGCCAGCCGGTGAGATGCACGGGCCCAGAGCCTGCTGCCAGGCGGAACGTCACTGGAGGCTGCAGCTTGAAGTTGTCCAGGCTCAGCTGCAAAGAAATGGAGCCGAGTTAGCAGTGGAAGGACACAGGGCTCCCCACACACCCAGACCGGCACTTGGCCCAGCTGACCACATCCCTCCCACCTCACCTCCACCCACTGTACCTTGTTTTTCCAGCCCCCTGGATCAGCCCCCACCATATGATTATTATTTACAGAAATCACACAGCTCTGTGCCACACATGTTCTTTTGCACAAGTACAGAGCTGTGTCCCCACCACCAAATGCCAGCTGAAGCTCTCACCAAGGGCTGACATGACAACTTCAGGTTTGCCACCGGCACAGTGATCTCCTGGTTCTTGTGGTTTCGCCCAACAACCTCCACCACGTTGCACTCATCCTTGGCGCCATCTGTGAGGCACACCTGGGGAGGACAGGAATTTCTGATGAGCACAAGCTGGCTGTCAGCTCCTGGGGGAGAGCACAGAGACCCTCCTTAGCATAGTGCCCTCCCAGGTGGGACAGCTGTTCCTGCAGCTGCTTCAAGAGATGGCACCTGGGCTGCATTTTCTGCTGACCAGACCCTTGCTGGCAGCTCCTGTGACAGAAGGCAATCCCCAGTGAGAGCCAAATACCTGAGCTTGGAGAGCAATTGGCCGGGGACCCAGCTGATGGGGGATCCCAACAAGGTCAAGTACAAGGAAAAATATTCTCCTCTGCCCTACAGCTGGGGTGTTCTAGAGGCTGCCTCCCGATACCACTTGCTCCAGCAGCTCCATACAATGACTGACAGCAGCAGGCCCCATCTGAGCAGCCAGGGCTGACAGCTCAGCCCAGGGCACCCCATGGTGCAGCTGAGCCAGGGGGGAAGAGCGAGCCTGCAAGAGGAGGGTTGAGGCTGTAGGTCTCCACAGGAGACGACGAGCATAGTTTGTTTTCCTCTATCTTACCACAGACAGGGCCAAAACATGGTCAGAGTCATCATCTTCATCCACCTGAAACGTGTAGGACTTGGTGCTGGCCGTCAGCTCGCAGCCTGCAAGCAAAAGCAAAAAAAAGCTGGAGTTACACAGCCCTGAAACGCCACAGGGTCCTCAGGGCAGACAAGCCCGCAGCATCCCTGAGACACACAGCTTTCCTGCTGACTCCAAGACTGCATCCCCAAGAGCTGCAGGCCCAGCCCAACGCTCTATAGGGACAAACCTCAGCGTCCCCAAACCGTGCTGCCACAAAACAGCGCCACAGGGCTGGAGGCCCTGAGAACAGGAGTGGGGAGGATGGAGGAGGCAGGGCTGGGCAATGGGGGCTGGCAGCAGTCCTCCAAACAGTCCTGAGATGTTTTGCCGTGCGTGTCTCTGAGCTGTTATGAGAGCAAAATTATTCAATGGACCGTGGCAAAAAGGCAAGGCAGAGAGCCCAGGGCGTGTTTGCTTACTGCGGGATGATTCACCCGTGTGAAGCAGACGGGAAAAGCATGGAGCTGAGCCCCGCGCGCCACACACGGGTTTCTCAATGGAGGTGGAGGCATCAGCCTCAGCGAACACAGCTCGGGGCAAGGCCCCGGCCCAAAGCCCCGGTCCGCATTCGGCTCAGCAGGACAAGGAATGAAAGCCAGGTGCCTGGAAAGCTGCGGGGCTGCTCCGCTTTGCAGGACCACGCCGCGATTGGCGGCTTTAGGCTGGGGACGGCCCCGAGCACGTGTGCGCCGGGAGAGCGGCCCGGCCACGTGTGGGACTCGGCCGGCTCTCGGGGAGGGGGGGGGAATGGGAGGAGGAAGGTTAGGGCCGCCCGCCCGGCCCCGGCACAGGAAGAGCAGCCGGGATGAGCCGGCAGCGCACGTGGGAATGCCGGCACATCTCCCCCCGAGCCCCTCGGCTGCCGTACACGTGTTTCCGTGCCCCGGCCGCGCACGCGGTTCACACCAGCGTCCCTCCAGCCACCCCGCCAGTGCCATCGTGTCACTCGCGTGTCCACCACCCCCCCGTCCGTCCGTCCGTCCGTCCGTCTGCTGCCCCCAGGCCCCCTTACGCGTCCCTACCGCCCCACACCTACCCTGTGCCGACCCCTCCGTCCCCCCAAGCCTCCCCAACCCCCAGCCCATCTGGAACCTTTCCCCACACGCTCCCCACGTTTTATCCGCACCTCCTGCCCCCAACACATTTCCCATACGTTCTCCCTCCTCCGGCCCCATTTTAAGGCCCCCCGCTGCCGCTCACCGAAAAGGACGCTGCCGGGGCCGTGCGGCTCCATGAGTCCGTAGCGCGGGGCGGGCGGTTCCGTGCCGAGAGGAGCCGCGCAGAGCCGCGCCGGGCCGCCCCGCACCGCCCCCGGCTCCGCCCGCCCCAGCGGGGCTGCACCACCCAGCGGCCGCCGGGCGCTGACGGGCCCGGGCCAGCTCTGCTGCACGGCGGGGGGGAGGTTGGGGGAGCGAAGCCGCGGCCCGAAGGTTATGGGGCTCTGGTGGAAGGGCTCGGCCCGCGGAGCAGCTGTGCAGAGAGGGGAAGACTTGGTGAAATGGCATATTTATGGCGTTTTATTCCCACGCAATAACAGGCGAAGGGATGTTAACCCCGGTGGGAGCCTAATGGATTTTCCTGGCAACTCGCGGCTTCCGGCTGAAGGTTTTTCTTGGGGGGGGTGGGCAGAAAATCCGAAGTTGCGAGGGTGGTGAGCAGCCCCAAAAGGCACCTTGGGAACGGAAACGCTGATGGAGGGGTAACAGAGACTGAGGTGCAGCGGGAGGGACCAACCCATCTCTACTCCTTTGGGCGCAGGCACGAGAGCAGCTCGATCTCTGGCCATACACCTTTGAACACAGCAGATGGGAAGGCAATATGCTGCTCCAGCATGCAGCACGGGGCTCAAGTAGATCTCCGAGCAGGAGAGGAAGTGATGCGGTGCACCTCTCGGGGAAGAAGAAGCTGCATTGAAACAGCTCACTTCAGTAGTGAGCTCACTCCGCAGCCCTGGCCTGAAGCTGGCTCTGCTCCCACTGCAGAGAAGCCACCAGCCCGCCTGCCACGTGTGCTGCTCGATTCAACGAAAACACACTGAAGAGGGCTGGGAAGTTGCCCCAGGTCCCAGAAAACAAGCACTCACCCGCTGCCGTTGCACAAGCACACACACACCCAGGCTGCCTGTGGACTCACGCGCTCCTGCAGCAGCTGCTCCCTGAGCCACGCGGCTGCCTGCACAGCGCAGGGACAGGGAAGGCAAGGACGTTCCTGCGCTGCGTTTCCCTAAGGGAACAACTCCCAGCGCAACAGCAAGATCTGAACCATCGCCCAGGCCGAGAGGAGACCTGAAAGGGATGCAGTTTTCCTTTCTCCCAGCTCACCCGCTGTGCCCAGAACGCATCGAGGAGCAAGGCAAGCACGATTCCCTATGAGAGATGCATCATTCTTCCAGTCAGAATCCTACACGCTCAAATATACACAAAGGAACACAATCCCCACCCCCCAGAATAAAAAGTCCCAGGACTGAAGCCTTAAGGACTCAGCCCCCCCCTTAAGCTGCGTTACACAACCACGCGATAGCCTCAGCCAGTAGGAGCGCAGCCAGACAAATCCCTGCAGGCTGAGGTCCGGCAGGCAGAGCAGCTTTGGGGACAGCACCTCCCACATGCAAACAAGATGCACAAGTGGGATCCGATCCCCGTGCATTTCCCGCAGTGCCAACTGAACACCTGCGAGCCCCAGGCCCTGGCAGCAAAAGCCTCACCTGCTCCGGACTGCAGGGCTGCAGGCGGGCACAAGAGAGCAATCCAGTGCATCCTGTTTTCTTTGACAGCTGATCCTGAGGGCTTCCAGCACACGTGGCGTGGCACAATACTCACTGCTGACCCACTTCTGGTTCACAAACCTCATACACAAAACACACATTTCTTATTTACATTCACTTCTCAATTTTTATTCTATTTCTTGCATGGTCTTCAAATACAGTTTTACAGGTCTTTTTTTTTTCCCCTTTCCTGCTACAGATACTGTTGATCTAAAAACAGATTAACGAAAGTGGCATTCCAACCTTAATGAAAACTCTTAACCATGAAAGATATGTGAACATATCACTTTACAATCCTAGAATGATGGCATTGGCCTGACATTCCCATAGGCTTATACAATTAACTTTTATAATAATAACAAAGTCATAGGAAGAGAAAATGTGGCAGCTCCTTAAAAGCCAGAAATAAGGCCACAAGCATCCTATGCTGTAATGCTATGAATCCAGATAAAATAAGTTGACTCCGGTATCCATGAAGAAACAAAACAAAAAAACCTCTCCCATCTGACAAACCAAGGTATCAGCTACTCAACATGCATTCAAAGCTGTATAAAAACTAGTGGCATTCAGCTCTGACTTACATGAAATCCCACAGAGCCACCCCGTACCTCTCTCTAAAACTGAAATGAACTTATTTCGACTTAAATATTTTCGCTAACGCATTGAAACAATGGTTCACATTCTGCAAAGGAAAACAAATAATCCTGCACGTGACTGCAGCAGAAGGCTGAGCACAGCATCTCCTTACAGGCTGCAGGCAACATCACTGCAGTCTTAATGCCGTTCATTATAGGCTGTGGAACTTCAGTGCAGCCAGAAGCTCGTGCAAGGAACCGAGCTTCCCTCGTGCACCGCCGAAATAACCCAGGGAATCGAAGAAGGAAGATTAAGACTGCAGGTGACGGAAACATGGTACTGCAACGTTGGGCAACCCCTCCCCTGTGACACCAGGACTTCTGTGACGTACCAGTGTCACAAATGATGCGACTGGCTCGCTACCACATCCCACAACGTGCTGGTTCCATCTCGCAGCCAAGGCGTCACACCTGGGCACGAACGCTGAGCTCTTGGAACATTTAAAAATAGGTAACCATTGAAATGAAGAGTAAAAATGTGCTCACTGTGGCATTTCTTATAGAAAAGTTATTCGATACAAATGTGCAGGACTTGAGGACCCTGATTTAATCAAACTAGAATGAAAGGGCTTTGAAACATGGTGACTGTTCCAAGGACAAATCCCCGCTGTGGGCCAGCTCTTTCCCTCTATCTTCCACCCAGTTCTGTATTAACACCACCAACAGTCTCAGGTTCAGCAGCCCACCCTGTGAATTGCTGCTTCTGTCCCAGGAGGATGATGGCACAGCCTTGCGCTGTGGGAGCTCGGCAGGAAACCAACAGGCATCTGAAGGAAGGATCCTTGGGATCAGCACTCCTTACCCAATGTGCTCAGTTTCTATAGCCCTGGACATGAGGCACAGTTTAAAAAAAAAAAAAAAAGTCAGTGCTGTGGACAGATTTGCTCTCCATCGTGGTTTTATGTTATTTAAAAGTGCCATCTTGGACCTATATCCTTTCAGTTTTTAAAAGAAAAAGTTACAAAAACTGGTAAACAAAAAGTTAGTCAGCATACAGCTAAGTTTATATACACCGAAATTTACAGGTTTGTCATTAAGTGACTTCTGCCACAGACCACTGCACATTTGTCCCTAACAGCACAAAGCTCCAACCAATGGTCGTTAGAAGTGACAATGGGTCATCGCTTAATCAACAAGCATAAAGATACTCAAAAATAGAACTATAACTACTTATCTTTACATCTGCTGATTGACATAGGTAATCCCTCCCACTCCTGCAACTCCCAGTTGCACATCCTGCTCTACGACACCGAAACAAAACTGCGTCCTTACAGATTCTTCCTTACAGCAGCCGCTTTTCTGCTGATGCTCAAACACACAACTGCTGTCAACCACAACGCTGACTGAGGACAATTCCTCCAGGCAGCTACATTGTCCATGCAAGATTCCTTGGCACTTCACACGAGACCAGGAGAGGACAGAGATTCTCTTGCTAAAACGGCGTGTTCAGCAGCATTATCCTCCTCCAGCAAATCAGTCTGAATGTGTGATGGGCGATTTTCACATAGTCCCCTCTCCCAAGCTGGCTTATTGCTGGCTGTGTTCAGCTAGACCATATGAAGATCCCCACCACTCCCCGCCCAGATGTTAAGGGACTGCAGCACTGGAACAGTTTGCTGTTGAGCACTTCAAAGGCTTCTTCCAAGGATAACAACATCCTTTGGAAATCCTTCCATTTTAGCAATTTCGAAACAGCCCAGCTTGCTGTAGAATTCCAGAATTCTTTTATCATCTGGCCTCACTTCACAAAAGGCCCCACGGGAGCCTGGAGAGGAAAAAGAGGGACAAAAACAGTGAGAGAAATACTGTAAGAGGGCAGTCGAGTACGAGAGTCCCCATCTATTTCAGCATCTCAACCCAATCAAATCACTGATTCAATTCTACAAGCAGCACGGTACCCAAAAGAGACCAGATTTATGGCAACACAGCCAACCATTCCCTAAAGGAGCCACACGTCGCAGAGATCTCGTCAGCATGAACAAACCACGTCCCTCTGAAGACCTCTTATTTCACATAAAAGCATCCTGAAACCCTGAATGTTGGCTCAGAAAAAAAGGCACTACAGGAAGGTACCAAACTGTGCAAAGACCTGTGAACCTCAGACGTGCAGTAAGGCAGATGGCCAAGCACTTCCCATACTGAGGGTTTGGTAACTGCTCACCAGTGCACACTTCCACATGTAACAAAAAGCAGCACTGTCACTGCCAGCAGGGAACATACAGCATCGACACGCTGTTCAAGATGGACACGAAAGCACACATTTTTTGTGAACTGCTCCCTCAGCTCCTCCTGTTTTCTAACTTCAGGGTAATGGCTAAAGCTAAAAGCTACCTTTAATGAAGACAGCAGCAAAAGTTAATTATAAAAGACTTCCGGATGGCTATTTACCTCAATCTAACACCAACTATGGCAGACCCAAGACGTAATTAGGACACTAAGCATTCTGAGTGCAGTAAGCTTACCATTAGCCTTTAGAGAAGAGAGCAGGCAGGCCATCATGCTTTTGGCCACGCTTGGATCCGTCACTTTTTTGTGGATATCAATCTTTATCAATGATGGGAAGTTGGCAAGGAATGATTCTGGCAATACTTCTTGTTCTTCATGGAAGCTTAGCATTATTTTCTGAAAAGAACATGAGAACCAGATATTCAGTCACTGTTAGCTTTTTATTTTCATTCATTTCCAAGGGAAGTCGCTTTGCTCACAGAATACACCTCTCAAAACTTTTCAGCTGCACCTGACTGCCATGGGTGGCTGTAGCTGTAAGCTTCCTATCCTCCCTATCCTTCAGCTCACAGCAGCCTGAGAAACCCGTACTGCTTATGCAGTTATCCAGACCATTTGCCCCAAAGCCAAATCTGAAGTACCCTCATCATACAGCTGCTGGCTGCAGAACTTTGAAGCCATTACAGAGCACCGGCTCACGTAAACAAGCTGCCTAACTTTGTGTAACTGAAGGCTGCCACTGTAACAACCAGAACTGGGGCTTCCTCACACAAGGAACCTTAGCATATCAGGGTTTTTTCAGGTCAAGCTTAGACACCTTACTGTCAAATCTATAATCTGCTATCTCCCACACTCCTGCAGTGACAGACCAAGTCTCAGTCTGCTACTTCAGACTGGTTGAACCACTTCAGATACAGAACCAGGCCTGGCCCTCTGGACTTCATCACAGCTATACATGCACAGTCCCACAGCACGCATTCAGAGCCAGCCATGCGGTAGCGAGTACCAAGGAAACGTTACAACACAGCACTCAAAAGGCTGGATCTTCCCTCTGTGAAACAAAACATCCCATTGGGTTTGGGTCTCAAGAAGCAGTTAAGTAAACTAAGAAACAACTGAATCATAAGAGATGTCAGCAATTTGAATCAAATGCTCTAAGAAGTTTGGAACAGGAGCTTTTCAGACTAAAGTGGAGACAGATTAGTAAGAGATAAGAGGTCTGTAAAGGAACTCTTTATTCTTTGGGAAAAAAAAAAAATCAAAACTTTTGTGGCATTGGCACAATGGCAACAGCTTCTATACAACTTACTGATGTTCTCTCCTTTATGGTGTCAAAAGGCTAAATTGAGAAAAACCCACAGCATCCATCTCAATAGCAAATACAAAAAACCTTCTCTGCTCTCCAGGGAACATCCTTCAATACCCATAGGCTTCAGAAGCAGACTTTTTCTGAAGTATTGTACTAGAAGCAGGAATCCTGGGTTAACATACCAACAGCTAAAAACATTCATAGACCTCTGAATGACAAAGCCAGTTTAATAGCATAATGTACCTCCTGCTTTCTCTTCCCCTGAAGTTTGGCTTTAAACATCTGGAAATCAAAGCTTCTCCTTTTTGGACCTACTAGAGCTTTGCTCTGCTTTGTTACCAGAGTCTTCATACACATGGGAGCTTTCCTATGCAGTTAAGAGCAAAAACTGCACAAATCTAGAAAAACAAAGTCAAAAGACCTACAGACTGCAGACTTCACTTGAGCTCCACTTCAATAACAGAAGTGAGCTGTAAGGTCACATTCCCTAGCTGCACCCAATGCAGAACACACACGTTTGGAAAGAACGACGTTTGCTGCAAGGCTGTTTTTTTAAACCCCTTCTATGCAAACAACACAACTGGCCAGAGGCCACAGACTGAATTACCATCAGGAACTGGTGAGCAGGACACCATTCTGCACCACTGACACTCATCACATCACACAAATGGCTCAAAGATTTTAAGTGGAAAAGCAACCCAGCTCTTGATGTGGTTTTCCATACTACAACTGGTGCATCTGTCAGACCTGAACCTCTCGTGCACGAGGACACCAACGTCTCATTTTGCAGAACAGAAACAGTGCTTCACTTTCATCAAAATGTAGTTCTCTTTAAATTAATGTTTGCTCTTGGTTTGAAAGCTCCTGCCACTTAGCAGTTCCAAAAACCTGTGTATTTACTGCATCAATTACTACTAAGTACACCTGGAAGGTGCCTCATAACACAGCTGCATCTGACACACAGTGAGCACTTTCAGTATCAGCACCTAAGACGTCAGATACTATGTTCAAAGACAACAGAAAGGTATGAAAAATAAATTACAAAAGCTTTAAATCCAAAGAAATACAAAGGACTGCTTTTGAGAGAAAGAAGAACGCAGCTCAGTGTTAAGTCCCAGCCTCACAGGTTATACCAACCTCTGCCTCAGACAGCTCCTTGTCGCTGTTTGGTTTAGTATATTTCTCTTGCATGAAAGGGATCCAAGACATTTTGCATTTCTTAATGAAAGGAGTCACATCAACTGTTCCCAAAGCGTAGCCACATATGCCATCCTCATCTTCCAAGACAAAGCAGTAATCCAGGCTGAGGGTGAGCAGACCTCCTACTAACCTGCAGAAAGAAGCAACCACATTCAGCCAAAAGCAGGTCCTATTGAACAGGCACGCTCTGTGTGTTCTGGATGAAGCTGAGGTCACCCAGAGAAGTGACAGAGCTCTCCAGCAGTGCAAATAAATTCTTACAATGCATCAATTAACAGACTGATCAGCTGTCAAAACTCAGTGATGAGCACCAATAGTTCAGGATCCTCACAGTTTAATTCTATACAGCCTCGGGTCTGATTCAGCACACAAACCTTCTTCACCTGCTGCTCTCAATATTCCTGCTGCCATTACCTTCCTGTTCATTTTTTTTGACAGCAGTTACACATCCTTTCTTAACTACCTTCCTGCCTCTCACAGAGAAGCTTCTTTACAAAGTTCTACCTAAAATACACACCCAAGACACAGCAAAATAGTTCCTCACTCTACAGCTCAAGATTTAATACTTCTTTTTTTTTTTTTTTAAACTTTCATCTTACTTCTTGTCATTGCTTTAAAATGTTGATGCAGGTAGACTACAATATGCATTTCACAACTAATAAATAAAAATCAATGCAGTTGCCTGGCATGCTAGTCCTCAGAAAGTCTTTCAATTACCTGAAGAACCATACTAGGTTTAAAAAAAAAAAAACCACCAGAATGTCACCACAGATACCCATGATGTACTTTCACAACTGAAGTGGTACTATGATGCATGAGTTTCTTAATATAGACATTTCAGCTCAATCTGTTTTTCTAACAGCTCACCACACGTGACCAGAGCATTAACTGAGACACAGGTGTTAACAGTATCTTTTAGAAGTCAGTTTCAATTTCTTAATGATCACAGATGGCTTTTTTGCTTATTTAAGTCAGAAGTTGTGCATCCTGCACACACACACTTAAAAAAAAAAACCCTCCAATTAAATACAGTGTCACAACATCATCCTTCATAACCACTTCTGTCAGTTCACTCATTTCTAAGACATACTTGTCTCCAATTAAGTCTGGCAGACTGTGGAAAGGTTGATCAGCTCCATCAGCGTACATTTCTCTGCAGATCTTATATACAGACGCCTAGGAAGAGGAGAGATCTCAAGTCATGAAACTCAGAAGTGAACTCCTCTGTTTTAGAGAGATTTCATTAACAGCTCCACTGCTCCACCGTAAGCTAGTACTGACAGGACTTCACTCACACCAAACAGGAGCACACATCTCTAAGAAAGGATCAGTTCTCTCCCCCCCCAATTACTACTATCTCACAGTTGCCTGTCCAAAATACTGGTTATGTTCAATGGAAGGAAAAGAAAAATTAAAGGTCAACTTTCTGCATGTTTCTACAACTGGGGATTAATCCTGAAGGCTAATTACTAAACTTTCACTGGAAAGAAAGCCACACAGACTATTTCTAAGAAGTCAGCTTTAGACCTGCATCACAGCATTGAAAGGGGCTCCTCTTCCATACTAGGAATTCCCAGAATAATTACTGGGTGAACAGGCACACACACCCACCTCTACAGTCACAGCGCTGCATGTGCTCCCACTGCACGAATTCCACTATCAGCAGGGAATCATTTTAACCCACTGCTGAGAATCATGGAAGGCATCACACACACAAAAAAAAGGGGGATGGAAGACTGCAGTCATGCTGTGGGTGTAACTGTACTGCAGCACAGCGGGCTGTCAAATCATAGGCAAATCACTTATCCTCCATTCTCCTGTAACCTGCATTTGTTTTTTGCAAGATACTGGGTTTCGTTAGAGGATGGAGGGACTCCGAAGGAACCAGTGTTGCCACAAAAGGAAAAACATCAACAAGGACAACAAAAGGCAGCAGCAGTTACCTCATCCTTGGGGAAGTAGGGCCTTATGGTGTACACCTTGGAAGTGGGCGTTAACGGAGGCGGTTGAAAAAAGAGGTCATTTGCCCCATCAATAGGCAGCAAACGCTGTGAAAACAAAATACTCGATGTGAGTGCATGTACAAGATCCCAAGACTCTCGGGCGTGCACTGCAGACTGCCAAATTAACATTTGCTACTTGCAGGCACCCCAGAAGAAGGTGGGGTTGGTAGGCTTTACAAATGCAAAGACCTTACTCGAATAGAAAATATCCAATTGGTGTTTTGGAATATGCAATTGAAAAAGCACATTAAAAGCCTGCTTATCCTGTCTACTTTAAAATGCTTTTACCAATCGTATCTACACTGCCTCTATAAGAACACAGAATGTCAGGAGGAAAGGTTTGGTCTGAAGAGGGTTAACTGGCCAGAGGAGACGCTTTATCCCAAAAGCAAAGCGCTGACTCTATTTGCTGCGCGCAGAGCACCTGTGAGGGGGGAAAAGTACGGCACCTGAAAAATCCATGAACAAATTCGAGTTGGTGCAAGCAGACTCGAGAACAGGTTTTAGAGTATTGGCCAATTGAATCTTTCCAAGAAAACACACTGCTGCTTTATTTAGCGACACACACTGGGGTCGCTCCCTCTCTTTGCTCATGGAATTCCCATTGGTGGACAAGCATGCGCGCGTGGCGCGACTGCGGGCGCAGATAAAAATGCTGTGCGACCTGCAAAGAAACAAGGTGAAATGTACAACTAAAGCCGCTGCGCTTCGCGGGCGCGTGGGACAGGCAGCATCTCCTTGAGAAACTACTGTAGAAATGGGAGGAAAATTATTTTAAACCAAGCTGTAAGGCTAATGGGCTTTGGACCAGAAAGCCTTCGGCAGACCAATCCTTCCAGACCTCTGATGTGCAACAAAAGGTTTCTCATAAAACAAAGAAAACGTCATTCAGTTGTGAAGTCATATTGATACCTGGAACTCTCCTGCTAGACCACCTCTAAAGGCCCAGGGTTCTTGGTCTCCACTTAAGAACTGTGCTGAAGATTGACTACGACACCCTGTTGAGATCAGATCCAAGCGGAGAACGTTACGAGAAGGGGGATTTCCTGGGTGTCTTACATGTCCAAAAAGCTAACACACACTTGTGGAAAAAGCTCTCTAACTGAGCTATAATCCAGGGCTTCGGTAGAGGCTGCAATAATATATGATTTATAAAGATTTGGTATGATTTATAAAGATTTGGTATGATTGATAAAGATTTTGTATGATTGATAAAGATTTTGTGCTCGTGCACCAACTGCGGTATTTCAAGTTTACAGTCTCAAGTAACAGGTCAGTTTAAGAACACGTGAGGTGACTGAGACAGCACACCTCACTCCAGAACAGACACAAGAATGCTGCCACGTACAATTACAGAAGCCTGACAGGCTTTCTGCACATTCTTCTGTTTGTCCACTTGTGGCAGAAGCATCTGGTTCATCTACAAAAGGAGGACATCTTGGATGCTGCTGGACTCAATAGCCACTACTGCAAACATAAGCAGTTGAAGAACGAAAATTCCATTATCACAGCCTCTTGAAAAAAACTGGACCTTTCTGAAGTCACATTTTATTAATTAACATTTCTACTCTTGTCAGAAAACTAGGACTGGCAGTATGTGCAAACAGTTTGCAACAGTTAAGATAGCCAGGAGAGCTGTACGAAACAGCATTCTTGCAAGAGACTAAATAGATTTATATAATCCAGGCCATACCTTCACAGTGCCACTGGTACGTGAGTTAATTCTAGCTCACACTAACTAGTACACCCTGTCTGTCACAGGTAATACTAGCTCTGCTTCTGCAGCATCTCAGTTTTTCCTCTTCAAGCATATCAGAGGCAACAGGGTTCCTACTGATCAGTCACAGGAGACCCATCAATGTTCTCAGCTTTAGGGTTAAAAAAAAAAGCTTCCATTTGACTTGTTACATTGTTCCACTAGCAAGACACCATGGCCTTCAATAACCAACATAACAGCTGGCAGGAGGAAAATAAAAGTGCCGGATCTGGAATGGAGATCACCTGCCCAGTTTTCTGACAAGACGAGCAGCGCAAATATTCTTTTCCTTTTGTAGACAGCAGTCTAACTCCTGTTCAAGTAACAGTCCCAGATCAGTACAGACAAGTGTGTTGTGCTAGTCAGAGAGTCCCAAAGTGTGCCAAGTTTGACATTGATTGGAATTTAGGAACACGTGTTCAGTGTAAACTATCCTAAGCACCGTCAGTATCAGAAATGATCCAAGCATCAGAATTTGGATGTGGCCAGCTCCCACACTTTAGCATTCTCACAAAAATATACTCTTCACATGGAAATTTAGTCAATAACTTGGAAGACGGGTTGTCTCTCCTTTGAGACTACAACTTAACTAGCACTTCCAATTATTACAGTACAGAGCTGTGTGAACGAAGAGCTGTATGAACAAAAAACATAGTTAATGCCTTCATCGCTGCGCAAATGTGACTTCAGTTCATGCCTATCACACATCTAATCTATCTGAGCTGCCTCACAGACAAAACCTGTCCATTTTAATTAATTAATGACGACGCGCTGTGAACATCTGGCGCTGTCCATCCAATAGCAGTAGAAACTTGTGCTGAAGATTCTCCCATCTGTACACAACGGGGAAGAAGACAATAAAAGTCATTAGTAATCCATAGTACTGTACAGCCACAGTAATTTAAGGGACTGAATGCTAGCTGGACTTGGGAGGAGAGGTGAAAATGAACATTCAGCGGACCATTGAGCACACCATCATGAGAACTAATGTGTTTGGATTTGGCCATACCTGGCTTTACATATGTTTACACTTGGGATAAAACATAAGCTAAGGACAAAAATATCTCCTCTCACGGAAGCATTATTAGTTTAAGACTACTCAACTGTAAACACCCAACTCCTACAGTGAATTTTTCAACTCTCTAATGCCAGTCATGATACCGGAAAAAACAAAGCTGAAGTCAGAGTCATCTATAAACATTTCATTTCTGAAAGCAATTCTGAAGTATCTGATGCATGTAAAGACTTGAAACCAAACTTGGAGGGACCTAGGAAAACTAGAAACAATTTCATCTGAAGTAAGGGAATGCAACAGGTAGCTAATAAAGTTGTAATGCAAGCTGGGCCCTCGATGTTTTGAGGTCACAAGAAACTGTGTTCTCTTTAGAGAATGGGTCTAGAGTTTTAAACAGACCAAGTTATCAAAAAGAGAGAATTCTTTCTAGTTAAACGTCAACTTACAGCAAGGATAGTAAAGCTGGGGGAGTGGTGTAACACTTCTCTTAAAACCACACACACTACAGCTTTTCTGCAGCATCAGGCAGAGATGTTCATACAGCACGATTCTGCCAAGCTCTCCTCTGTACTTGACATAAGGCAGTCCTAAAAGCTCATCTTCATTATTCACATACACATAAGGATCACTTATTTAACAAGCACATCCACAGGAAGCTTTTCAGTAAGGCCTGACTTGACGTGTTCACAAGTCTGTGTCTCAACTCAAAACTGTCAGTATTTAAAACTACAATTTAACAATCCAAACACTTGCATTTGACCAAGGTTGTGCAATGGTTAACCACTGTGAGGATTGTAGGATTGTGACAGCTACAAAACGTGTGACAAGAGACCATTGGCTTTGCTGCCTGCTGTGTACGTCAAGCAAGTCCACAGCATATTCCTTACAGCTGGATTGAAACCTGAAAGTGAAATGAGGTCACTGGAATTACCCAGGCCATGCTGGTGCTATCTGCCAACTTTGGATCCCTCAAAAATCTTTCAGGAAAAAACAAAAACAAAAACAAAACCACAACAACAAGCATTTCCAGACCAGCTTACATCTCAGACTAAATCAGTCTAGAAAGCTCCACAATTTCCACCCACTGTCAGAAAATAATCAAAAAACAACAACAAAAAAGCAATTTGGAAGGTGTTTCAAGAAAATAATTTTGCACCAGAATAGCCTTATGCTAAAGCTCGCATGCGCACAGGGCTGGGAGGATCAGCTTCCTCTTGGCCAGGCCCATTTAAAGGTCACTGCTGGAATTGTTCTGTTGAAGACAGCAACAGTGTTATCAAAACACAGCAAGCAGCAGGTGGCTGATGTGGTCACATTTCGTAGTGTCATTTCCAATCATGTACCAGGGTACCCAAGGAGCTATGGGGCGCAGTCCAGTGTGCATTCAGTCAAGAATAAGTTAAAGTCAACACTTACGTGTCAGATGAGATTCAAGTTTCATTAGCCCAAGAAGAAAAAAAATCAAGGTCTCCAATCTTAAACATCCAGCAGACTTCACTTTAATCCCAAAGCAAATTCACAGCAGGCATTGATTCAATAGTGAGATAAGAAAACCTTTAAAACGGGGTCAAACCAGACCCTGTGTCCAAGAAAACATACTTGCATAATGTTTTGTTTTCCCCGTGGGCTAATTCAAAACACAAAAGAAGATACTCTCTCTGGGATTATAATGGCTCCCAATGCACCTACCTAACCATTGCACAAAAGATTTCACCATTGACATAATACTCTTGATATCCCAGACGTAGGAGTACATATCATAAAGGATTGTTCTGTTGGCACAATTGGAGAGGCGAGTGAACATTCCCATCACCAAGCTGCACATCTCTTCAAACTTAGCTGCTCGGTTACGCCACTCTTCTATCTATGGATGGAGGGAAAAGATCCACAAGATCAAATACTGCCTTCTAGGGAGGACAAGCACTCTAAATAGGAAGGATGACCACGCAATTCCATGCTTTGAAGCACTACATCACACGTGACTCACAAGCCTTTACTGTTCTTAGAAGCAAAGCCAGTACAGGAAGCACTGTTCAAATATGCAGACACTACAGAGCTTAAAACAGTAAATTCCACTGGATGAACAAAAGTTATTGTCATCTGTGGTTATGTTTCATGCTACCTACCCTTCAGCTTCTAGAAAATGCAACACCTATCTCTACTTCAGAAAACAGTCAACGTTGCTCAGGATTTTGATTTAAAAGGAGAGAAACGAGCTTAAGTTACACTCACTTTTTCAGCATCCTTTCCTTTGCAGTTAACACTGACAACACTGCTATTTGCTCTAAGCCACTGGAATTCTCTCAGCATCTGTGCGCCTTTGGGCCCGTGTTCATATGGGAGATAAAACAAGTCAGCAAGAAGCTGCAAGTCCTCTAAAGTCACTGGTTCTACTGCGTAGAGTGGCTTTTCATTTGGCCCAGGCACAAACTGTTCTTTGTTAATTTGTTCATCAGTCTGCATAGGGGCAATATCACTACCAGAGTCCTCCTGCATAGACATCTCCGGGGACTTAGATTCAGCTATGCTCTCCTTATCGGTATCCATTGGCTTCAACTCCTCTGCCATCTTCGCCTCAGCGATATCTGTCAGTATCTGGTTAGCATTCTTGTCCGCATCATCTTGTTTCTCTACCACCATGTCCATCGGCTCCTCATCAGACTGCTTCTTCTCTTCCTCCTTTACCAAGGCTGGTGGCTCGCTGCTCAGTGCTGCGCCTTGACTCATGATGGGTTCCTGGTAGACTGTGGTGACCACAGTTGCTGCGTTTAAAGACGACGGTGCCACCAGAGGCCCTACGTCCCCTACAGCAGTTTTAGCTCCGCTGTGGGCCACTTGCCTACCTGAGCATAAGAAGAAACAAGTTTAAAGTCGTCAGTATCAGCCAACAAACATTCAAAAGCAGCAACTTCTACAAATCATGGACGATTCTGTTGTCATGGCAGCCAATTATGCAGCTTCCTTCTGGCACTTCGCCTGCTCACGTCTGTCACTGTAATTCTAACTACAGAATTTGTATTTTGGCAAGTCTCCCCTTCAGATAACCACCAAGCAAAGATAGGGAGTTCATAAGATGAGTTAACATGCACTGCCAGGAATATTTCTGATTATAATACCAGTACAAAAATCTTTTCAAGTTAACGTTTTCCCTTTGCATCAGCTGACTTTTATTCCTATTCAGTGTAGATTAAAACAAAAGAACAGATGCTCAAATACTTCAACCACAAAAACATGACTGGGGAAAACTGAGATATTCAAGATCCAAATGGAAAAGGTTTTAGGCAATTTGTTCTAGCCAGCCCTGCTTGACAGAGGACTTGGTTGAGGTGATCTTACAAGGTCCCTTCCAACCCAAACAATTCTGTGAAAGCAGAGGAAAGTGACACTACCACTCCTCATCCAATGTTTCTGCCACAGCTGAGTTTTAGAGAGATCTGAAATGTTACAGTACTTCAAAAGGAGAACTGCAAAGAGCAGAGCTAGGAGTCAGGAGAAGAGATTCTTCAACTCCACCAACAGCTATAAGGCCACTCTGACTACCCAAAACCCATGTTTGAGAGAAACAGATTTTACCTCGAATCTCAAGCTCCCAGTGCTACAAGAGGAAAGGTGTACAATGCTGGAAGGAACCCAACTGGTTTCTGCAGACAGAAACTCAGAAAAACAAAACCAGCTGAAAACAACTGGAAAAACATGGACTCTTTAGGGGCAGTATCATTTTTCACACTAATCTAACACCCCCTCAAAAAAAATTCTTCCTACTCTCTCAGGTCCCACAGAAATCTAGCAATAACTGCTGGGACTGACAAGATTCAGACGCTTTCCTGTCTTAGATCAGAAATGCCAGAGGATCATCCTGCTTCGAGGGTGCTCCTGCTGATCAGCTGGGTCACTAAAGGCACACTGCAGAATATCAAGCACTCTTTTTTCTTTACTAGGGTTTCCCCAAGAAGTAAGGCAGCGAGTACTTCCACAGACTGCAGAGATCCGTTAAATAGTTTGAATCTAAGTGCAAGTGCTGAACATGTAATCACATTTTCCTACCAACCCCAAAGTGATACCAAACCAAGCTCACTGCTGTATTGCTGAGGTACTCCGAACTCCTGAAGCCATTCAGTTAAGGCCAACTTCAGGGCCATTTGTGGGCTGTAGAGAACATCTGTTTCAATGTCTTCATCGCTGCCCTCATTTTCCAGTTTAATCTGGATAGAAACGGTACTGTCTTCAGTATCAGCTACAAAGAGAAGTTTATAAAAAAAAAAAAAACTCACATAAGTTTCATCTAAAATAGAAAGAGATGACGTTAGACAAGGTGCTCAAGAACTCTCAGTCTTACTTCACAAAGAAGGACAAAGAATTGAAACCCAATTGGACAAAGCAGAAAGCTATGGTCACTATCAACTATCAGCACACAAATGGTACGCAGAAGTTATGTGTAACGACATTCAGAGCTGATCTGATCTGCTTCTACCCCAGTGTAATCAAACCCATGGACACTTGTGTCAAATACAAACCACACAACTGGTTTTATTGATTTCCTGAGATGTATCTGCAGCACGTGCCATTAGACTTGAGATGCATCTGTGATTGCATAAAAAGTACTTTCAGTAAATAATCTGGTTGCTTGTTATTTTTCAGGTGTCCTTTACTTCCAGGACAGAAAATGCTAGGCTATCTTAAAAATAAACTGCAAGGAAAGTCTAGAATAATTAGAACAAAACAGTGTAAATTACACAGTTCAACACATGCCCCAGCAAACAGGTACTCATACTTACTCATTACCACATCTTTTCTCACTCCATTCATGTTAGACTTGTACCAGGTTGCAAGTGTGTGAATAGCAACATAATTGGCTTCAAATTCACAGTTTGGATTGGTCAGAACTCCCTTTAGTCGAGGGATGAGCTCAGTTGACCGACCTTTGTAAGGTCCAAGAAAAAGCCTCTTTTGATCATAATCATTAGCATGAATGTTGTCCCAAATAACTGGTGCTCTCCTGATGATCTTAGAAACTTCTTCAATGGACTCTACTGGAATGTCTTTGGATACAACTTTTGGACCTAAGAGAGAAAGGAGACCATGAGAGTGCTCTGCGTACGCACGAGGATTCACATTCCTCACATCAAACAGTTGGACGTGTATTTTTGTTTTGATTTCTTATGAAATACTTCTGATAACACTTGGAACACCAGCACTGAATTAAAAAAAAAAAAAAAAAGCTACTTCACCTGTCCATAACACATCGATGCCAGGAAGCAGTTTTTCTCCTACAGTTCGTAAATATGGAGACTGAGCAACATTTGGGTAACAGAAAGTTCCACAGTATTCTGCAAAGGAAAAAAGAATGTTGCTTATTAGAAAGATGTAGAAATATGACAACATACTTCCACTGGAGAAGAGAATCCTGAAAGTTAACCTCTAAATCCCCAATAGTCTAAATTAGAAGGGCATTACATATGCTGCTTAGCAAAACATCAGACAGCAAGACTACAGCATTTATTTTAAATTGTTCAAATGTCAAAAATTTGGAAGAAAACAGAAGTCCAGGTTACTGTACACAATATTGAAGAGAACTAGAAAGCATTAGACTAATTATAAAATGACCAAAAATCTTAAAAAACACAGCATATGATTTGTTAAAAGAAGTCTGCAACAGAACCAGAACTATGGCAGCCAAGGAGATAAACACAGTAATTCACAATGGTAACATTGCTACCAAATGAAGGTTTCAATCTAACAACCCTCACCAAACACAGTGATACTGTCTCCATTACAATGAAATATTCTTACAAGTGATAGGTGATGCTTAGAATTAAAAAAACCAAAACACAAAGCAATGATGGACCTTGAGAGTCATCTGATAATTTCAGGTTTAAAAAAAAAAGGCAACTCAACAACGAATAGAAGTGAGTGATCTTACTAAAACCAGCCACCACTGGAAGAAGTGAGCATGGGAAGTGCAGTGTCTCTATTTTAAGAAACCTCTGGGAAACGAATAGCTAGCCCAGACTTTGGTACAAGTCAAACAGAAGTCCTCATTTAATCTAACTTTTAGTTCTTGAACCGTTCCATCAAGATGCTGCTTTGCTCAGCAATAAACTTCTCAGAGATGCGTAGGTTTGGCAAAACCTCTACATACAAATTCCTTGAAGCTTTCTTTATTCTTCAAATGACTCCCAAAATACTGCCTACAGTGACAGTGAGATATTAAACCAACTTCTCAAACAATAACATAATGGGTCCTATTGTTTAAGGCTGAACTAAAGGATTCATCTTGTTTTACCTGTAGGACAGAAAAGGAATGTGTCTGGTTCTCCTAGATATTGGTAAATCTCATTTGTTATGGATACTTGAGCATGAGCAAAGGAACTAAACACTTCTTTGTCTGCTGCACACATGTTGTGGTCAATATCATCAAACAGCAGGGCAAAAGATCTGCAGCCAAACTGGGAAACCTGAAACAAGAAACAAGAGTGAAACTTTTTTTTTTTTTTTTTAATTAAAATAAATTGTGTAATTTTCAAGATTTAAAATATCTTTACAGCAGGATAAAACATTTAAAAGAATTAGGAAAAAGTACTTCAGGAATTACTCTTCAGCTTATAAACCTGTAAGAAGGAAAAGCTATGAGAACAGAAGGGAGAAAGTTGGTGAGACAAGACAGGCCTGTTAACTATCCCTGTAAAACAACGAGCATTTGTCTCTGATCCACCACCCTGCCTTCCTCAAAGCTGCTTCTGAAGACCTTCAATCTGTTCCAGTTCCTACAACAAGGTTGATTTCACTGGACAGACAGCTGGGAAAGAGTTAACTAACATGTAGCAGCATTTGGACAGAGGAGAGCAGTTAATTATGGGAACAAAAAAGACGGCTACACGTCAGACCTACCACCAAAAGACTTATTGTGGATAAGGGCTCGTGTTGGAAACGCATCTTAACTTCAAGGTTCTAAAGTATCCTCAGGACAACATTCCAAGAACAGCCTTCAAAATCTGATAGCAGATTTTATTTTTTTTTAAATCTAGATGATCAGTGGTCACTTCTGCGAGGCAACCTGAACACGTCCATTCAAACTGTCCACTGAGGCAGCCCAGTAAAATAACATGGTACTGAAGTTTTTCAAGTTAAGTAGGACTACAGCTGCAGGAAGCTCAGATCACATTTACCTGGTCCAGCTTGCGCTTCAGTGTGGATACTTCTTTGGGATTTGAGAAAGTGATGTCAAGCCCAGGTGAGATTGCATAGATGAACTCTATTTCATGTTCACGTGCAGCTGATATCAGAGTCATTAGCTGCTCTGGAAATCAAATTCAAATATTTCAGAAGGATTCAACAAGAAACAGCTTCCAAACTATATGTAAATAACGAACTCTAGATGCCTGTGCTACCATAACAATAAAAATAATAAATCAAGGGATTTGCTCAAATTCTGGAAAAAAAAAAAACAAAAAAAAAAATTAAAAAATGATCTCAGTGACAAATAAGGATGAAATCTGTCGTTACAGCACGTGTATTAACAGTTCTAGAACTACTACCCATTTTTTCAACATCTGTCACACCCTGAAACAATCCCACATAGGAATCAGCTACCTCACTATTCACACTACACACCACTGCAGCTTGCTGCACATTAAAAGGGTTCTTTTTAAATATCACAGGGCAGAAGTAGTTGCTTTAAGAAACAAACTTCAAATTTAATCTTACGTACAATTAAGAAAATTAGTTCTAGAACATCTAATGGTATTTGTTGTTATTTGAAGTTCCCTTGCAGTACCTTCTCAATTATACTTCTGCTGTGATTCAGAGTGACATCCAACAGGGATTATTTAATTTCAAGTAGGTATCACTTTTCCCCTCACTCAAGGAAAACAATAATCCCAAAAGCCAGTAAGACACTGCAGAATCTGCAGAAGCCAGAGGTGGATAAAAAGCCTTGCATCACCTTTTACACAGACCTTTCATGCCCTGACTAGCCATAAGCTGCTTTTCTAACCTGTGCTCACATAAAAAGCCATACACTTTTTTCTCCTCCTTTTATTTATTTTTTTTAAATGAAGCAAATCATTCTGCTCCTCCATACGGCTCAGGGGATCAAGAGCCAGAGGAAGGAGCACTTCTAAACAACCTTTCCCAGGGATGGGAGGGGGCAGAAGTAATTTTCATAAGACAAAGCCTTAAAAGCAATTTTAGAAATTATCCACAGAATTATAGTTAAAAGAAGCAAATCCATGCTTGTCCCAAAGCTCCCTTAAACAGGGCTGCAGGGTATTAAGAACAGGTCTCAACGCATATTTGAAACTGGCTGCTGTGATTACATACACAAGTGTACAGAGCAATGACTGATTCATTGAAACAAATCAGAGTGGCCTGGTTGAAAAGGACCACAATGTCTAGTTTCAACCCCCTGCCATGTGCAGGTCACCAACCAGCAGCCCAGGCTGCCCAGAGCCACATCAGCGTGGCCTTGAATGCCTGCAGGGATGGGGCATCCACAGCCTCCTTGGGCAACCTGTTCCAGTGCCTCAGCACACCCTCTGTGTGAAAAACTTCTTCCTAAGATCTCCTAAATCTACTCCTCGGAAGCAGAGCAGAAATAGAAGTGATTACCTGCTTCTTCCACAGAGTACATTTCCCGCCAGAACATCCTGTGCTTGTAGTCGTCCTTCGGAGCATACAGGTATGTATTCAGTCCCCACTTCTGAAGTCTATGAGCAAAGGATGAAAGCCTTAATTGCAAGAGCAAGCTACAGATCCAGAAATTCTATGTTTTATTTGGCTCGTGTTTTTTCTCTACACCCCTTCGTTGAAGATTGTGTTATACTATCAAGTACACACTTGATATGGGACAAATTTGGTTTAAGAGAGACAGGACTGTGAATATGCATCTCCAGAATACAGACAGTATGCAAAAGGTTGCTCTAGGTTAAGCCTGAAAAGAATTTCTGTTCTAAGTGGAAGATCATGATTACATTACACTGGAATGTGCTGCAGAGAGAGGAAGCATGACTTGCCTTCTAAAAAGTTCTTTCCTCTGCTCCATAACCCAAGGTCTTCCATAAAAGCCTACAGGAAACAAGACCAAAGTTATCCAGTTAGATGTTAAATAGTGCCCGTTCCATGAAACAAAATATTACAACCAACCCTTCTCTCATTTTCTTCCTCTACCAATAAACTGATTCTACTACATTCATCATGAAGTTTCCCAAAGCAGAATGCAAAAAAAAAAAAAAACTAGCTAGACAGCATTACAAAAGTGTAATAAACCAATCAGATCTACATTTAAAATGCAATTATAGCCTCTTTAATTTTTGATGATCCAAAGCCTGATAAATTTGGCCATTAAAGCAATTAATTTTCAGAACCCAAACTGAATTCCTGAGCACATGCCCTTCACAAGTCAAGTCAGCACTATGGTAAGGGCAGACTGAAGAGTCGTAACCTAACTGGACTATTGCTTCAGACACCTGGAAAACACCTTCAGTTGTAACACGAATACTGGAAATGCCTGATACTATTTAGCAGCATTAAAACGCTTAACTCCAGATACAGATTAGAAACCTAAATACATACACATAGTATACAAATACACACTGAGGAGAACGATAGGTAAGTATGAAATCTTGAGCATTTTGTTGAATCAATCACCCCAATTAACGGGTTTCTTGTCACAATTAACTCAGTTGATCTCCCACATACAAGTGCCTACCTCTCCAAAAGCCAAGATATTCAAAGAATAATCATATAAAAACACTTAGAGATTTTACAATGGTGTATCTCCGAGGTCACTTACTTCTGCATGAATTCTAACACATTCTGAGTTCAATTCTACTCCTCCCATTCCAAAAACATAATGCTTAAATAAAAATAGAGTGCTTTTTGAAGTAAATTCACTTAGACCTCTGTGCAAACAGCTCAACCACTGGCACTTCAAAACAAACCTTCAGCCTGGCAGTCTGTGCAAGACATCAGTTCAAAATGTGAGCAACATCTCCATTTTCAGAGCTATTCACCGTTGTAAATCTGCTCTTAAAGAAGCCAGAGAATGCCCTCCTACAGCCTGTCAAAGCTAACGGAATGTCTACACGTTCACAACCATTTCATTCGCCCATTAAGAGATCAAAGATCATCTTAAGAAGTTTAAAGCAGGCTCAAGTTTTCAGAATTAGTCTCCCAGAGAGTGACCTCAGACTAACTGGCACCACAACGTGGAAAAGCTGAGTAACTACTGCTTCTCACTGAACTGCCAGGTGACGAATTGAGGATGGTTAACAGAGGAACAAATGAGAGAACAGCTGCAATGCATCTGAGACTGCTTCACCCAGAAAAAACTCCTCATTTTCACTAGTGACTTCACGCTGACTAATGCCAGTCCGAGGAAGCTCAACAACTCACAAACAGAACAAGTAACTGTAGCACCCAGTCAATACCACCCACATCTCATAACTTGTTCAGAACATTTCTACTTCAACAATGTTGCTGCTTCAGACCTAGCAGCCTGGAGCAGAGCAGGGGGCTACTGCAAAAAAAACAAAACACAACATGAAGAACAAGATGAGCAGATTGAACAGAACACTGAAGAGAACATGCTAGTCAGAACTGATACAGTGCTCTTCCATCTGTCAGCACATTTCTTATATTACTGACATCATCAGCTGATGGCTATCCTTGGATCTCTATCTAACTAAAACTGACCCGGTTTTCTATTACTCCCTCAAGACTGCATGTCAGGTTCACACAAAGTCACGAGATCATGCCAAGTATTCATATCCCAGCTGCCACACTCACCACCACTAAAAGCCAGGCTGGCTGTCCTGGAGGATGAGCACCATCTCTGTGCATTCCAGAGCTTACATTTTATGACCCTCAAAACGGTGCACTCAGGGGACTGTAAGTTCCTCACATTCTTTGAGTGCATTCCCAGTATACTTGCCTGCTATTTTACTAATTTTTACCTCCTCTTCCTGCAAAACATCTGGACTCTGCTGTTCACCGCTTTAATTACATGGTATCTCTAGGCTGTGTTAGCTGCTGCACTATGTGTTTACCTTTGCTTCTGCAGTTAATCTGTTCTTCTCTTAACCTGATAAGCCTCACGTTACTACAGAGACCGGCATTTCCTTCTGCTCCCACTTGCCTCAGCCAACACAACTGCTGCTTTGTTTTTACACTCCCTCATTCCTAGTCTTCTGTACACACACAAGACTAAACAGATAACTCCCAGCTAACATTAGACTGCTTCACTGGGCAGGAGCCATTTTCTTGCTTCATTTTACTACGTAGTCATGAACACCTATATTTATAGCAGCTGCTGCTAAGTACATGCAGATGAGATCTACAATGTAATTAAAACACCCCAAAAAACGGCCACGGTGCACACACAGTGGTTTGACACACTCTGTGATGCTGTGCTCAAGGAGCATTGTTCAGGAGTGTGAGAAATCACGCAGTTACACTCTTTATTTCTGCCCACTACTACCTGTCTCCAAAGGACATTTCTCCACAGAGAATGGTTTAATAACCAGCCCATCTCTCTCCACACTGGCTATATTTAAGCCCCAGCAATATCACAAAGGAAAGGCACGAACCAGGCCTAGTGCACATCACACAGCAATGTACACTGGAGCCAAATGCTCTATTTAAGATATGAACAAAAGACGTTCTGCAAGCAGTGCAGATATTGACTTTGATAAACTGCCCATTCCGCTTCTCATTTGTTAACGCTTTTGTTCTCCTCCTGGAGTCATTATAGATACCAAAATAACAGCAGTCCACAGGAATTTAGAGGTATTCCAAGCCAGCTAATTAAGTAGGGAAGAAAACATCTTTCTCGCTGGCTTTCAACCATCTACCTTAACCAAGACGGCAAAAATGCCCGTCAATTCTGTAGTTACTGACAAATGGAAAACGAGCCCTTCTCTTCTGAAGCTTCTGGAACAACTTAAACCTTTGAATAGAGCCTCTATAACAAACTGGGCGAAAGAAACATCCTATAGCGCTGTTAAAACGTTAAGCCATAACACCGCAGGGCAGAAGGAGCATCTGACATTAATCGCAGAACAGATGTCTCTGCGATCACCTACTCCTTACCCTAGAAACCCAACCCGAGCCGCGCGTACAGCCGGGCTAATCGCAGCGGAGCGCTCCCCTCCTCCTCCCCTTTCCCACACGTACAGCACTCGAGCCGCCCGGCCTCCCGCAGGAATCCTCGGCCCGCCGCGTTAGCCAAGGCCCGCCAGCCAGCGGCTCCCGGCACGAGCCGCCCCGCCCGGCACCCGCGGCTGCCCCGCCCCCAGCCCGCACCGCCCGAGCCCCGCGACCCCCCCGGCACACAGCGCCGGGATCTCGGCCTCCCCTCCCCGCCAGCTCTCACCTTCCACCACGCCGCAGAGGAAGCGGCGGGAACCCAGCGCCGTCTCCGTCTCCGTGTCGGTTTCCTCGCCCCCCGGGACGGCTCCTGCGGCGGCGCCCGGCGGTTCCAGAGGAGCTCCGGACGCTCCGGCCGGGTTGGGGCTGCCCTGGGGCTCCTCCAAGGCCGCCTGCCCCTCCTTTTGCACCATCCTGCCGCCCGCCGCCAGGACCCCCGCTCTCCGGGCCGAGCCCCCGCTCCCTACCCCCCTTCTCCCCTTTGTCTCCGCCGCCCCGGGACGCCGCCGCCGCTTCCTGTTTACGGGGCCCTGCGCCTGCGCGCCGAACCGGCCCCGACCGGTCCTCACCGCTCCGCCCGCGGCTCGGAGAGGCGCGGAAACGCCGCCACGGGGCCGAGGGAAGCCGGGAACCGGGCGGGAGATCGCGGCCGAACGCCTCTCCCCGTCGCTCCGCCGGGAGCGCACGGCTCGAGCGGGAACGGCGAGCCGACGAGAGGGAGCCGCCGCGGGGAACGGGCGGGCGGAGAGGAGAGCCCGCCTACGGCGCGTGCGCAAAAGGCGGAAAAGAGCGCGGCGCGCGTGCGCGAAGGGCGGGCGGGGGGAGGGGCGAGGCCGCGGCGGCTCACGGCGCCTGCGCAGGCGGCCGGATCGTGCTTAATGCGCGTGCGCGAGAGGCCCCGGGGAAGGGGAGAGGCGGCAGCGCGGCAGCGCGCAGGCGCGCGGCGACAGAAGGCGCTTGCGCAGTCGGCTTTGTGTAGGGAAGCGGTGCGGATGGGGAAGGGGGTGGGAATTAAGTGTTTACTTCTGCGCTGCGCGTGCGCGCCGCGGACGCCCTTTGGGTGTGCGCGTGCGCATTTGCGTTCGCTGCGGTGGTGGTGGTGCCGGTGGTGCCGCTGTAGCGCGAGTTCCCCTGGGCGCTGACCTGATTTGCTGCGGCGCGCTGAGCCGGGCCGGCTCAGTTTGGGGTTCGGGGACTGCAGAGAAAGCCGTGGGCCGGCCTTCGTGTCCGTGCTCCCTGTTTCCCCAGCTCCCCCCTCCAAACGTCCGACAAAGGCAGAGGGGAATACCAGCAGTGTGCATAGCGATCGTGGTTAGATTTTATTGTCTTTTTCTTTTTTCCTCCCCACTCCTCCCCCCATTTTTTTTTTTTTAACCCATCTTATCGTTATAATACAAAATATACAGACTGGAGATGCCAAGCGGGTTGTGGGTTACCATGCCCTGGGCGGGGGTCACGCCATGTGACTGCAGCGTGAGTAGGGAGGGAGGGAGGGAAGGAGGGAGGGAAGGAGGGAGGGGGGAATGGAGAGATGAAGGGCCTCTGCACCCAGCGGGACAGGAGGTGCTGGGGTTGGGGTTACCTGCCCTCTCGCCCAGGAACAGGGCTGTGAGATGAACAGTGTGGTGGACGGAGCTAAAAAACATCACGTCTGCACAAGCCAAGCCTGGAGCAGTGGGGGCTGCTCCACAGCTGAGGCTCAGGGCCCTGTGAGGGGGTCCGAACGGCTCTGATACCAGGGCTCAGCCTGGTGTGGTGCACAGCCTTGCTCACCCGTTCCCCATTGACCCCAGCCGCTGCTGCCCCTCTGGACACAGTGTTGGGAGAAGCTGGGCCAGGTTGTGGACTAGGACCTGAAGCCGGTGGGGCTGAGCAGGAGTTTGATGTGGAGACATTAGCCCCCAAACAGTACTCGGAGGGATATGTGGGTGGGACAGGAGTGCACACCCAGCTCCAGGCAGCTGTTGGTGACAAACAGGGAGCCCGGCACCCTGAGTGAGCGAGGAGGGGGACAAGTGGTTCATGTCCCATGTAGGGGACGTGTCCCTAACATCAGGGCACAGGAGGAAGCTGAGGCGCCGATGCCTGCTGCGAGACTCTTAGTTCCTAGAAGTGTTGCTGGAGGGTCTGGGCTGGAGCCGGTGCTGGGGCTGCTGGGGGGGTCATGATGTGGGGGCACAGGGAAGGCCCTATGGCAGCCCAAGGCTGCGGCTTTCCCTCTAGGATCGGGTGCAAGAAGCCCACCCAGGCCAGATGCCCCATGCCAGCTGTGCCCACGCTTTGGTGGCACTTTTGTGTGGGGTCCCCAAGGAAAGCGGGGCTGGCCTCGGGGGAAGGATACATCCAGGTGCTGACCATGTCTCTGTGTGGCAGCTGGCAGCAGGAAGGGCTGGAAGGAGAAGTTGAGAGAGGAGTGGGGTCTGAGCCCGATGTCAGAAGAGCTCAACTGGAGACAGCTAAATGACGTTGTCGAAGAGCTGCATGGACCTCATGATGTTCTCATCCTGCAGGGAGGAGGAGGGTTTGGGCACAGAGCAGCTCTCTGGGCTGCTCCCCCAAAGTGGGTGTCACCCCATAGATCTTGTCCAGCTGCTTTGACACACAGGACAGGAGCTCTGGGGCTTACACGGGCCGTGCTGGGATGCACTGTTCCCCACCCACACAGGGATGATGGCATGAACATGGTTCCTAGTGCAGAGCCCCAGCAATGCTGCACTGAGCCCTGTGGCCTTACCTTCTGGCAGGACTCCAGGAACTCCTCGATTGTCACCACACCATCTTTGTTTCGGTCCATTTTCTAGAGACAAGCACAGCGTGGAGGGCACTGCAGGGATGGGGACAGTCCAGCACCCCCAGCCCAGGTTCCATGGCGGCTGGATGCAAAGCAGAGCACCCACTGCCAAAACCTTTACAGAGAGCACTTCGGGCTTGAAAACCTCCCTGTCCCAGGCAAGCTGCTCACTGGAACCCTGCTTTGTCCCCAGCATAGGGTGTTTTCTGCATGCAGGGTCCCTACTGATGTGCCCAGCTCACCTGGAAGAAATTCTCCACATGCTCCCGGGGTGCTTCCTCCCGCATGGCCGGGTAGGTGTACTTGCCCATCATGTCGTAGATGGATTTCATGATGTCCAGCATTTCCTGGAGGGAAGGCAGTGTTGCAATGTGGAGAAGCTCTGCCTCCATCTGGTTCTCATTGCAAATGTTCATTATGCCCCCAAAGGACCCATTAAATTCTCAAGGAAATGCCCTGAGCCCTGCCCTCATCCCCACTGGGTGCAGAGCTGCTTCAGCCTGGACCCCTCTCTCACCTCTTTGGTGATGCAGCCGTCTTTGTTCAGGTCATAGAGATTGAAGGCCCAGTTCAGGCGGTCATCGATGGTACCTCGCAGGATGATGGACAGCCCAGACACAAAGTCCTGCAAAGCAGGTGGTCACCCTTTGGAATGACAGCCCCACAGAGATGCCACGAGTCTTTTCCCTCAACCAGAAACTACAGAACTCTTTCTGTTGTTGCTTTGTACTGTTTTTCCCACTAACAAAGTCCTTCAGTAGCTGCCCATGGCAGTCCCAGCCCACGGCACACAAACAGAGAGCCCCTGGCAAAGCCTGGCCCCCTCCTTGGCTCACCTCAAAGCTGACAGAGCCATCGTGGTCAGTGTCGAAGGCATTGAAAAGGAAGGTGGCATACGTGCTTGAGTCTGGAGGAGGCAAACAGTGAGAGAGAAGACAGCCCCACATGGGACACCGGGGATGGGGACCCACACTCACCTCCTTGTGGGAAGAACTGCGAGTAGATCTGCTTGAAGTTTTCTTCATTAACGATGCCACTTGGGCACTCCTGCCAGGGCAAATGGAAGCGTCACACCATCAGCAGGGGGAATGGTGTGATGCTCAGGGCTCTCTGCCCCTAAATCCCAGGATTGGGGCACCCCCCAAAGCTTCAGGGGAAACCACATCCCCACTGCTGCCATCTGTAGCCATTCAGAGTGTGACAACAGGACGCAAAAGTATCCCCAAGGGGTGCATGGCTGCAGAGAAGGAGTGAGGGCTACTCACGTTCTTGAAGCCCCGGTAGAGGACCTGCAGCTCTTTGCGGGTGAACTTGGTCTGCTCCTGGAGCTGCTCCAGCCCCTCGGGGCGGTGGCAAACGGTGGAGAGCTCAAACTCATCCTCAACACTGTCTGCAAGGAAGTTGGGGAAGGAGAGGGCAGTTGAAGCCGTGCTGTCCTGCCCAGCCCTGCAGTGCTAGGGGCAGGAGGTGTACTTCACACTGCACACTTCCACTCAGGACAGCAGGCTTCTGGGGTGTCCCGCTCAGCTGCAGCCAGGTGTATGCCAGGAGGGAACGCAGGCCTGCCTGCTCTTCCCTAGCATGATCATCTGCCCCATAGAGCCGAGACCCTGGATGCCTGAAGGTCTGTGCTGCGCTGAGGCTTGTCTCTAGCAGGAGATCTGCCCCCCCTCTCTGCCCCCAACTCCAAACATCCCCTCCTGCCTTGTCTAGCTCCCATCCTGTCTGCTGTGCCCCATCTTCAGCTATGGTTTCTCCCCATTCCTGCAGTGACCAGAGCCCCCACTACAACCCTGAGAGGCCCTGGATCCCCAGACTCTGCCCCCTCATACTCACCTCTTCTCTTGGGGGGACTCAGCTTATGCCGTGGAACAGGGAACATTCCCATTCAGGGTCTCCTAAAGGGCCAAGCATGACCCAGGGCAGGCTGGGGGGCTCTGTCTCTACTCATCCCCCTCCCTCCCCTTCACATCTCCGACACAAAACTTCCAGCAGCATCCTCCAGCCAGGGTGTGGTTCTACTGCCCCCAGCCAGGTCCAGCCACCACCGTGCATCCCATCAGAGCCTCTCCAATGTGCTGGAGGGGGTAAAACAGACTGGGAGCAGGCGAGGAGGGAGGTGGGTGCAGAGCCCATCGGATCGGACCCTCAGGGGCAGGACTGATCCTGACCCTCCCCACGCTGCAGGGCAGGGGGGGCGGCAGCCAGCAGCACTGCTGTGGACACACACACACAAAGGCAAGAAGAAGCACTTGCTTTCGCTGAGCGAGGGGATGGATTTGGGCCGGCAGCAGGGCAGCAGTTTGAGGAATCGCTGCTTCAGCGCTTTTTTAGTTTGGCCCGGCGGGTTGCCTGGAAGAAAGAAGGAGTCACCAAGCAGAAGAAGAGTTAACAGAGCAGCGGGCCCCGGATGCAGGGTGTCCGGCATGGGGTGAGTGGGACCAGTGCATGCAGATGGGGATGGAGCAGGGAGGCAATGCCCAGCCCAAATCTTTCAGCCTTTCTGCTCCATCCCAGGACAAACCCGGCCCAGTTGCTTCCCTCATTGAAAGGGAGTGATAGAAAGGTGGCCCTGACCCATGGCCAGCATGTCTGGACATCCGTCAGAGCACAGCAGTGTGCAGTGAAGCCTGGCAGCCAAGGAGATGGCAGGGTTGGCCTCTGCCCTTTAGCCCCAAAGCCAAATGCCTGCTCCATGGGTAACTCCCTCCAAGTGGGGCTGTATGGGATGAAGTCCAGGATGGGACTGCATCCCCCAGGGCACTACGTCCTACCCAGGGGCACGGGGCCGGGTTTAATCCTGCTGGCCCATAGGGCTGAACACGAAGCATGCCCCCAGCTCAGCCATGCAGCCCCTCTGCTGCATGCATCCCCACCCCAGTGCAGCCAAGCCCAGGGCCCTGGGTGGGGACAGCCAGGAAGGAATGGAGTGCAGGGCCGTTGCCTCTTCCAGGAGTCATCCCCTGCTTCAACCTGGTCACTGCCATTGCTTCCAGGTCCCCCTGCTCTTCACCCCCTTCCCCAATCCTTAGACTTTATCCCACTGTTGGCCATGACCCATCTCTCCTAACCTAGTGCTGCTCCTTGGCCACATACCTGCTCCCCCCTTTCCCAGGGCCTCACAGACTGCCCCAAGCTGGCAAGCAGCACAGGGTGAGCAGCATAGGTGGGGAGGAGGAAGAGGAGGAGAGAAATGCCATGCTGGGCTCCAGCCCCCAAAGGCAGGCAGGCAATAGGACAAAAGGTGCAAAGTCCCTTTGAATACACACCAGTGGGTGGCCCTATTGCTTTCAGGTAGTGGAGAATAGTTCTAAGAGGTCGGTGGCCCCCAGTGAGTTGTCACACAAAGCCACTCAGAGAAGGCAAGTGTGTGCCTAGGGAGACGCATCCTCAGCAGGGATGCTGCAAGCATGGTTTTACCCAGCTATTTTACGGGGCTGCTATTTGCATCGGGACATGGCACCTTCCAGCCTGCCCAGGATGCTCTGCATCCAGCCCCATCCCCAACAGCATCACACTGTAGGACCAGCCCTAGGAGCAGGAGCAGTCCTGGGGACAGGGCAGGCAGTGACACAGCACTGGCAGTAGGACCATGGGAGGGATGGGGCAGGGGGAACCACCAAGCCAGAGAGATGCAACAGAGAAAAAAACGTGGTTGGACTCACAGGGGCAGCAGGTATAGGCACGTGCAGTAGGTCAGGTCGGGTGCAAGTTACACTTTAGTTTGTTATAAAGAAGGAAAAAGAAAAAAAAAAAAAATAACACAGGCGTTTTCTTAAGGAGGAAACCGAATAGGGCGCAATTCTGGGGGACCCAGGGTGGGAGGGAGAGGGTTCAGCACATGCAGTTTAACAACAGGAGAGGGAGACTGGGGCTGGCGCTTTGCTGTCCTGGCTTTGGCACACCCAAGGGCTCTGCTGGGGATGGCACAGTGTCCCCTTGTCTCCAGCATCCACCCTGGATGTGATAGGGTCAAAAAACAGCTCAAGGGCATCCTCACGCACAAGCAGCCCCTGGGCACAGTTCCCTGCTCTCTGCCATCGATTGCCTCACTGTTATCTGCATGCCCTCCATCACACTCCTCATCCTGCCCAGTGGAATGAGACCTGCAACCTCTTCATCTCACAGCATCCTCAATGATGGCTACGATGGGTACAGTGGTAAATTCACAAACTCAAAGCACACTGCATAGAGTCTGCCAACAACCTTCACCCCAGGCGGAACTGCTGGTAGCACGGATCAAGATGGCAGCCAAAAGGAACAAGCAGCAACACTGTGCCTCTCTGCACTCCAACATCTCCAGGCACAAGCGACAGGTCCTGCATCCCCTGCCCCAGCTTATTTTGGGTCCAGACCCAGCTATTCTCCCCACCCTAATGCACCCAGCCATCCCAACTTCCAGTAATGCAGCACCACAACACCCCACATCCCAATGACTCAGGTATCCCCCATTCCAGCATCCCTGATACCCCTACATCCCAATGCCTCTCCCCACTCTGGTATTGTAACAATCCCCAATAACTCACATGCCAGCACCCAAATCCCTCACTTCCTGAGCTCCTTATATCCTGGTGCCCTCAGACACCTGCATACCCTCCCCATGCCCCAAAACACGTTCTCCTCAGCACCCTGAGAGCACCCTGCAGCTCCTGCATACTGCACACACTGCCCTGACACAGGAGGCGGGGACCAACTTTTACACTGCACCCCTACCCCGTTGTAAACCCACTCCATCGCATCCCCACCCCACTGCAACCCCATCACAGTTTTGGTTCCACCTCCCCCAGTCAGGTGGATAATGCCCAAGACATGGAGCAGCTTGAAGCTGAAGCAGAGCAGCAGGATAATGCCTACTGTTTTCAGCTCCTGCAGATCCCAGCGTGCAGCAGGGAAAGATATCCTTCAGCTGCAGTGCCTGACCCAGCAAGGCAGGAGAGAAGAGAATGTGGGATGCAACAGTTTGGGGTCCCCTCATTGGGCACATCAGTGACAGGAGGCAAGAGCCCAGCCAGAGGGAGTTGGGAGGGGAGCAGTGTGAGAAGAGATTAATGTGAAGCCAGAGGGAGAAGAGATTCAGCAAGCTAATTACGTCTGGCTGGGCTGAGCGGGATGTGACGCTATGCCAAGTCATAGGGGTGCACACCACGGTCCTCAGGGCTGCTCAGTGCTGGGAGTTAGAGGCAATGGGGTCAGGATGCAAGGCCAGGTCCTGCCCTCTGCCTCCTCCTCACCCCGCAGGGATGCTCACCCCACTGGGAGGTGCCTCCCAGCCCCACATCCCAGGCAGCACCCACCCACCCACCACACCCTAGGAGCTCACCAAGATGATCCCTTCCACCCACCCCACAGATGGGACATGGCACTCACTATCCCATCACTCAGAGTCTGCAGCTCCATCTCATATTCATCCACTCGGTTACATGGGCGGCTCTCCTGGCTCTCTGTCTGCCTGCCCAGCCCTGCTCCCAGCCAGAGCCAATTTCTCCTCAATTAATTATTGATACTGCACTTCAGCAGCCAAAAACAACAGTTTTTTTCTTCTCCTGTCCCCTCCCGAGGACTTGGCCACGGCAGGCTCTTGTCAGGGGTTGGTGATGGGCACAGGTCAGGCGGTGGCGCAGGGCACAGCGGAGTGACAGCACTTGGCAGTGATTAACTGGCTGGAAAATGACACCAGGTGTAGAGTCACCCCTGAGATGACACCGGCATGGCCACACGGATGGGACGGGGGGGACTGGCTGTGGCTTCAGCACCGTGTGTGGGGGAAGTGCAGCCGCCTTGGTTGCTCTGGAGTGCCGTCCATTAGCAGACCCAAACCATTAGTGTATGGTTTCAGGCTCTTTGCAGTCCATGGGCTGTCATTGCGTGCAGCTGGTAAACAACAGGCAGGCAGGGCACTAGACACTTCCCCATCCTCAACACCACCTGGGGCCGTTCTCAATAGGCAAAGCATCCTATGTGCCACCTCCAGAGCCCAGGGGGTGACAAAGCCTCTGAGAGACACAGGCAGCACTCAGGGCATGGTACCAGGACCCAGCCACTCCGGCCAGGCGTTTCCCTCTCCTCCACTCACCCCTGTGGGGATGGGAGCTGAGGGCACCTGGTCCCACTCCTGTCTCTAGAGCTGGGGCAAATCCCTATGCTTCTCAGTGTCCCTAGCCAAGAGGACATGCAGGTCCCAGTGTGGTGACATGGATAGAGAGGGGCAGCCCATCCAAACTTCATGGTGGTGATACCATGAGATTAAGGACTACATGGACTACTACTGTTGTCCTTCTGAATGTGTGGGCACAGGACCTCCATCCCCACTGCTACAGACTCTCTTGCTGGGGACAAGAACTGTGCCCCTGGGGACAGGGCTCAGCCAAGGGCTGGTTCTTGCCGTGCGCTGTGCCTCCCAGTAGGGTTGGCATCGACAGGCTCCCCTCTGCTTCCCCCTCCCCACTGCAGCTTGGAGCCAGCACACCGCAGTGCCACTGACTTCGGTACAGGGCTTAGGGCAACAAAAGCAGGGGGACAGGGGTATCCAGAGTCTGCATCAGCCCTAGGATGCACTGGAACTGTGGTCCAGGCAAAGTGCCCGTCGCGTCCTGATGGTGTACCCACAGCATCCTTCGGGTGGGTGGGCTGCATGCTGCCATTCCCTGCCCCCAGAGCACCCCAGAGCCCCCAGCACACCCCAATCTCACACAGACACCCCATTATCCCTGTGCCATACTGGGGTCCCACCCCCTCCCCACATCTCTGGCCACCAGAACTCTACATGGAGCAGGCAGGACACCCTATCCCCATGTTCACCCCTACCAGCTGCAGACACCACGTCCCAGAACCCTAAAAGCATCCGTGGGGGCAGCTCTGGGGCTCCCTACACAGCCGTGACCCTGGTGAGGTGGGAACCCACCAGATGGCCCCCTCCCACTCCAGTTACCTTCCAAGGACACGGGCTCGAAGAGGCCGAACTGCTCCAGTACCTTGACGAAGAGAACCAAGACCACCAGCACCGCAACCATCTCCAGGCCTTCCAGGTTCATGATGGGGGTGTCTCATGGCCCCCTACTCACCTTGAGCCTTCTCACCCCTTCTCTAGCCACAGCTGCTGGGCTATGCAGCCCCAAGGACCCCTGATGTCCCCAAGGATGTCAGCTGTCCCTCTGCTATTTGGGGCCACGTGAGAGTGAGGGGTGAGCGTGGGGCTGTCACAGGAGCCAGTAGCCAACAGCTCCGGCAAAGAAGGGCTGTGCCTGTGAGTAAGAGCAGAGCAAGGCCATG